GATAGATCCTTTAAAATTCAGCATAGAAATAAGAGTGGATTTCTCATTCCTCTGACATCTGAGTCACCAGCCACCATTGGCCCAACCATGACAGCTGAGTTGGAAATGTGAAGGTAATGGATCTTGTGTGCACAGCACTTAATCTGATAGTCAGAACTCTTTTGTCAGTCTTTCTTGCCTACAAGGTTTGCTTTGGGCCACTCCCATACACTTTTGTATATATAGAGAGTGCTAATTTTGCTTTTGCATGTGATAAATTAGTGTGTTATCTGCATTTTCAGTGGCCAAATGTATTTGCAAACTAAAACTCCTGGGTTCCACTTTGCAACCAATTCAATTTTCTGACAGTCTTTCAATCCCTAACTTTTCAGTTAGTGGGGGCTTCCTGTATCCTGTATTCAGCTTGCTCTATAGCCAAGATCAGTGGTTCCCAAACTTTGGTCCTCCAGATATTTTGAACTTCAGTTCCCAGAATTCCTGATTGTTGGCCAAGCTGACTGGGGCTTCTGCGAATTGAAAGTGCATAACCCCAAGAAGACCAGAGTTTGGAAATGACTGGTCTAGATTTTGCCAACATGCATGATCCAGGGACAATGGTGATGGTGGGGACTCAGTTTTTCATCCACATCTGGTTCCACTCAAGGATGGCTTATTGGTATTGCAACTCACCCTGACAATTTCATTCTGTCTTCTTCGTGGGCTAACCTTGGCTAGCACTCCCCTTCCAATTGTGCAATCTAGTTTCCATCTGAGCACAGAGACTCCATCCCCCTCATCAGATGATCCCTCGGCACCTGATCCAACTTGTCTTGAATGCAACAACAGTCTCTCTGTTGTTTATTGAAGGCATCTGGGTTGATTTGTAGGAAAACAGTGATCGCTTCTCAACCTCCCTCTTTCCAAAAGCAACCTCAGGTAGTGAGCAGTGGCAGGACTGTAGCCAAAATAGGACCACTGAGAAATAAGGGGGAGGTGTTGGCAGGAATAGGACAACCCTTCAGGGAGCCCACTACCACAATAAAAATCCACCCACGCAAAAACCTACTGATGAATGCCTCAACATGGTCAGTAACTATGGGAAAGAAACTGTCTGTTGGAAAAGAAAACAGGAAAAATAGAAAACTCATGTATGCACTTCAGAGAAAAAGAGGGGGAGGAGAAATCCTTAACCATCTCATTCTAAAGAGGGACATCTTAAATGAGACTCAGTAGGCTTCCTGGTCCTGATGAGGGCTACAGTAACCAGATTCAGCCAAATGTAATGATAGTCTCTCCTTTTGTTGTTGTTGTGTGCCTTCAAGTCATTTCCAACTTATGGCCACCTTAAAGTGAACCTATCATGGGGTTTCTTGGCAAGCTCCTTCAGAGGGGGTTTGCCATTGTCATCCTCTGAGGCTGACTTGCCCAAGTTCACCCAGTGGGTTTACATGGCCAAGCCAAGATTTGAGCCCTGATCTCCAGAGTCACAGTCCAACACTCAAACCACTGCACCACTCTGGCTTCCTTTAGGTCTCCTTAAAATCAGGACAGTTGGGGTTGAGAATAGGCACAGGTGAACCTACACAACTCCTTTTCTCCTCCACCCTCAGACCTTTTCAATAACCAGATAGGGTTTGCATGGATCAAGGAAGAGCAGTTGCAACATGGAATGTTGGGACGTCCGTTGAAAACCAAGTCCTATCATGAAGAAACATGGAGGACAGGGAGAGGGATAGACAGAGAGGAAATGACTCTGTTCAGAAGAACCCTCATGGTTTCTAGTAAGTACCTAGGAAAGTGTGGGGCAGAAGAGGGATAAAGTTAGGAAGATAAATTTTACACATTAAAAAGTTTGGGAAGAGGAGGACAAGGAGGAACAAGAACCTCCAAGTCTTGTGGCCTTGAGCAACTCTTGTGCCCCCAAACCAGGTTTTGTGGTGGCTTGAATTTTCCTTAAAGGGTTTCAGCCATTTTATTGGATCAGAATTTTTTAAAAACTTGGGTGGTGAGGGGGTCTGGGGGTTTTAGGATCTCCAGAGGGCCACATCAGAAAAAAGCTTTTCTTCGGACTCTCAAGGCTCTGCTGGTTGGGGTTCTTAGGAGTTATAACCCAAGGCTTAAACCTGGGATCTTTTAGAAAAATGCTAAACCAGGGAGTTGTAGCCCAAGGGATCCTGGAGGTAGTAGTCCAAGGCTTAAATCTGGGAGCTGTAGTACAAGGCAGTGTCTGGAAAATGTACTTTTTGGCCTGTTGGACATAGAGAGTTGATGTCTGAACAGTATTTTTTCCAGCACTGGGAGTGTGTTATAACAGAAGATGCATGTACATTTGATAGGAGAAGGGCTCAGCTCTTCTACCTCCCCTTCCCATATCCTGCTGTCATCTAGCCAAGAGGATTACATCTTTGGCTAGGCTAGTAAAATCCTCGGTGGGTGGCGAACCTGCAAAAGAGAAAGGAGGGGGTGTCTTGAGAATGAATAGCCAATATTCATTCATAACAACTCTCACCCCTGTTTTGTAGCCCTGGCTGCAGGCTGGCCTAAGAGAAAAACCCCAGCCTTTGCCTGAGCTCCACAGAGAGCAAATTTTGTTTGTCTTGAGAAGGCTGCAGTTTCGGGTCCGCTTCTGACTTGACATCTGGTTCGATGTGAGGGAAGAGACAACTGTGGTGGATCCAGGCCACAGAGGAGTTAGCCTTCCTGTCCAAGTGCAAGCCATTCATTTGAGGCCTCCAGACTTGATGATTTGAGGTCCCACCCTTCCAAGGGACATTGGCAACCTGCCCTCCAAACCAAAGGCCCTTATTATCATGGCTCCAACAGTTCAGAATTATTTGGTACCCTCTCAGCACAAGGCTCAAGGATTCACAAACTTTGATCAGTCACTGTATCCTCTTTCTAAATGGGTGGATTTTGGGTCATGCCTTCCAGATGTCCCAATTTAATAAGGACACAGTCTCGATTAATCCTCTGTCATCTCACTTTTCTAGCTGCTTTAAAAATGTCCCAGTTTCCCTCACTTCCTTACCTTTCCCCCTTTTTCCTCAGTTTTCTTCAACTTAATACTGATGGAGTGGTGTGACAGTTTTGCAAAGCTTCATCCCTGAATTGTGATGTTACATTGTGCATGGATGTGTGTGTGTGTGTGTGTAATGCTCAGTGTCCAGGGTGTGCTCTTCAGAAATTTAGTTTGACGTAAAGGTGCCACCATGGTAAAGGCATGCAAATGCACATAGCACATTAATGTACAATGTCAGCACATGTGAAAACTCACTTCTGTGCTGGAAAGGGGAATACTACCATTGTGCAACAATGCAGAGGTTTGATCTGGAGGTATAAGACAATTTATACTTGTGTAGTGGATTGAGTGTTGGACTATGACTTTGGAGACCAGGGTTCAATTCCCAGCTTGGCCATGAAACCCATTGGGTGACTTTGGACAAGTCACATGCTCTCAGCCTCAGGGAAAGGCAACGGCAAACCCCCTCTGAATAAATCTTGCCTTGAAAATCCCATGATAAGTTCATCTTAGGGTCGCCATAAGTTGGAAATGACTTGAAGACACACAACAAAAGCAACAAATGCCACCAGCAGGATGAGAGCTGCACAGAACATGGCTGCTTTTGTTAAATCGTCACCATTTTCCTCATTGGGTGTCATCATCTGTATGTGAAGAGATCTTGTAGCATCTTTGAGCTAACAGAAATGTATAGACTTAACTCTATTTCCTCAGAGGCATTTGAACTCTACTTCCTCAGATGCATTTGGACCAAATGCATCTGAAGAAGTAGACTTAAGTCTATGAAAGCTCATGCTGCCAACTTCTTTCTTTCAGTTAGTCTCTACAAAATCTCTTTACATACCGATTTTACAGACTAACATAGCTATATTTTTGAATTGTATCATTCACTATAGCTCTGCAACACACCTCTGGCCAGGAGTAAACAAGAGGAGATAAATAATAGCATGTCAACCTTTGAAGGGAAGCAGAAATCCTTGAAACATGGTGGGCATCCATCTTTCTTGGATTCCCACTGCCTCTCCAGCCCCATGAATTGTTTCATAACACTTTTGAGTTTCTCTCCATCCCTCTATTTGCATTTTGGCAATGCCTTTCCTCCACCCTCCAACTGCCCCCCCCTTCTCTTCTATGGATTCCCAGCAAAACCGAAGGGTGGAGATTTGCAAAGCTGCAACTGAATTTGGGCAGGAGCGGTTTGGCTAACGGAGCCAAACTGTCACTTTTAGAAACGTCTCCAGTTTTCTGGCTGCTGCAAAAGCAAGCTATTTTCAGAGCTGGCTGGCTAGTTACATCAACCCCACTCTGCTTTTCGATGACCATAAAAGGGATTTTGGGGTGTGCGTAGACGGAATGCTTTTATATATTTATTCTAACCGTGGTTTGCTAAAAAGAGATGGCATGAACTAACGGTCACTGGGGTGTAGGAAACTGATGCTCTGGAAGAGGGCCCAGGCATAGTTCCCCTGAGGATGATATGATGGAAGGCCATTTGCAGATCGGTACCTTTGCTCAGTCCCCTCTCACAATTTCAGACCACTGAGGTGAAATTTCAGGGGTGAATCAAACTGGATACCACTTCTACAATTAGAAAAGGTATAAATGATTTTAAATTAAACGAAACAATTGCAAGTACAAGACTCCTATTCGAGAATCAGACACTAACATGGATGGATGCTGTAGATGGGTGGCTTTAGTGTTTTAACCTCCAGTCTACTGACATTCAAATCTGGGTCAGGTCACTTGCCTTTACAATTTGTTGCTTTAAAATATTGCTTTCAGACAACAGCTGTCAGAATCCCCCAACAGGTCATGCTGGCTGGGGGATTCTGGGAATTGGTTGGAGTAGTTGTGTGCCTTCAAATCCTTTCTGACTTATGGAGGTTCCAAGAGGAACCAAGACAGGGTTTTCTTGGCAAGATTTGTTCAGAGGAGGTTTTCCTTTGCTTTCCTCTGAGGCTGAGAGAATGTGACTTGCCCAAAGTCACCCAGTGGGTTTCTATGGCTGTATAGGGATTTAAACCCTGGTCTTCAGAGTCATAGTCCAATGCTTAAACCACTACACAATGTTGCCTCTCAATTTACTGATTTTACATTTTTCTTTTTACAATTTACAATTTTCTTTTCTTTTTAAAAGCAATTCATGCAATCGCTGACTAGTCTGAAGTTTAAAGGAGTTACCCATGGTACTGAACCATACTCTTCCAAATGGATTCATCACCTTATAACTCATTTAAACTTTGGACTAAGACCTGCACGGACTCACCGACATGGGAACCACTAGCCAATAGTGGCAACGGGACTCAATTCCTTCTGAACAGTTACAGAAACACTCTGAATTTTTGAGGGACCAGTAAAATGCAAGAGATGGAAGGTGGAGAAGCCCCTCAGAGATTCTTGGACTGCAAATCCCATCATCCCTAGGCAGCATAGGAACAGGAACATTGGGAGCTGGAATCTAGCAACCTCTGGAATTAGATTAGAGGAAGAGCATGAGTTGATTGCAGGATGTCTTTTAGGAGTCATATTTTATGGATTGAAAAGAAAAAAATATCAGCAGCCCTTGGGATGGCATTTCATGGTGTTGGAAGACAAAATCAAAATACATTTGCTATGGAGTGGTTTAGAATGACTGTATTCACAGGAAAAGCTCAGCTGACATTGCACATTGCACCGATATGTGGTAAAGGCTGATCTCTGTTTCCATTTTGTGACTGCATAGATAGTGCCCACTTCCTCCCTCTTTAGGGTACATGGTGCACATCTGCAAACAATGTGCATCACGGTCACATTGCTATCAATCAATACAATCACCAGTTCTTTCTGCATCGGATGTCACTGTGCACAGAAACCACAGTCACAAGATTTTTGGGTCTGGCATCATGCTACCTTCCCCGCCTCATAAGGTCTTCTGCAGTGGTGACTGGTGGCATTGACATCAGTGAGTTGCTCTGAATTTTAATCCAAACTTTAAAGGAGCTACTCACGCTGCAGAGTCAAGTGAAAAACACTCACATGGCAAGCCAGGGGCTGATGTGGACCAAAAATAACTTGCAGTAGATTCAGGAGAGACTCGGAATATGTTATTGTGTAAATTTAAAGATTTCATCTTTAAATTTTGCACTAAAACCTGAAATGGATTCACTTCCCCACTAGCCCCACATGCCATCATGAAGCTGGCCATGAGATTGTTTGACTTACACAGAAACATGGAACATCCCCACTTCAGATTTTCCCTAAACCACACACTCATTTATTAAGGATACGACCATCATTTGGTCCTACTGATTTGCAGACCTAATTTTTAAAATAGAAGGGAAACCAGACACATGCAAGCTTATTTATGGGTTACAAGTCCTAGAATCCCTTACCCAGTATGTGAAATAGGGGATTTTAGGAACTGAAATCCTATAAAGCTAATTTTCCAGGTTCTGGCAAAAACAGTGTCTTTGCTTAAGCCCCCAAAGAATTGCTGCAAGGTGGACACATTTTGGCTATCTCTTTCTTGGGTGTCATGTCCTTTTAGAGACTGAAAGCGGGGCCAATCTTGCTTTCTTTTATTTGCGACATTTGTATGCCACCGCATAACATGTAATTCTCTGGGCTGCTTGTGATAAAGCAACCCAAAGACAATTGGAATACAAAATCAAAGGCAGAGTAGAGTACAATAACAAAAGAAAAGCCATAGTGCCTTAAAAACAAAAGAGTTTTTGTTGGGTATGGAAAAGACCATAGGGGCTGCATCCACACTGTAGAAATAATCCACTTTGACACCACTTTAACTGCCATGGGTCAATGCTATTGAATTCTGGGAGTTGCAGTTTGTCATGGCACCAAAACTCTCTGACAGAGGAGGCTAAATATCTCACAAAGCAACCACTCCAAGAATTCAATAGCATTGAGCCATGGCAGTTAAAGTGATGTTAAACCGCATTAATTCTGCAGTGCAGATGCAGCCTTTGATATAAATAAAAAGCATGAAGGCGCAGTGGGTTCAGAGGCCAAGGTCAAGAAAATGTTGCCCTGGTATTGCACATTCTTTCCTCCCAAGGGGAACAAAAAGAGCATTCAGTGATGCCATATCCCAGGTCAGCACCTTGGATTGCGCCTTTAAAATTCAGACTCAAACCCGGAGTGGACACAGTGCACCACTGACACAGGTGTCACCGGCTGTAGCAGGCCCTGAACAAGATATTTCATCTGCAAGGAAGCTTTTCGGTCAGTGGCACATGCACAACCTTTCCCATCTGCTTTCCCAATATTCTGCCAGAACCATGGCAATATGGAAATAAACAAGGCCAGTTCCAAACGTGCATCAGCAGCGTTTTCTTGGCAACCGAGGAGCAGAGCGGAACTCGAGAAGCTGTTTAGTTTCCCAAAAAAGAGAGGAGACTGCGGTCAGGGAAGGCGAGAGAGTTTGAAGGAAGTCAGAGGAGGATCCAGGGAAATTTCTTTTTCACTGTCCTTGCTCTTACAGACAATTCAGCATGGGACACTCAGGCAAATGAGAATTAATACAATTGGTTATCAATATCACTTTAATTTGGCTATCCGTAGGATGGATGGTAGCAGGGGACTACAAAGGCCATTGGCCTACCTCCCCCAGACCTTGGGGAAAATGCTCTTTTGGGGGACTACAACTCGCAGAATTCCTGGCTGGGGATTCTGGGAGTTGTAGTCCTCCCCAAAGGAATTTCTCCAAGCTTTAACTCATTCTCCACACTCTGGCTCCTTGCTTGTTCTTTGTTCCCCAGATGATCTTGGGATATTTTCAAGGGATTCTAGGAATTGTAGTCCCTCCAAAAAGACATTTCTCCAAGTTCAGGCCCATTCCCCAGGTTCTGGTTCATTGCTCATTCTTTGTTCCCCAGAGGATCTTGGGGTTCCACATACACTCACCAGATCCCATCTGATTGCAGAAGCTAAGCAGGGTCAGCCCTGATTGGTGTACTTGGATGGGAGACATGTACTTGGATGGGAGACCACCAACAAATACCAGGTGCTGGAGGCTATATTTCAGAGGAAAGAACTGGAAAAGCCACCTTTGAATATTCCTTGCCTAAGAATAGGCAAGAATAGGCATACCCTACGAAATCCATGGAGTTGCTCAAAGTCTCCTGGCGGCTAATGCAGCCCCCTAGCCTTCCACAGTTGGCCATTCCTGTCATAGAATAAGTGAATGCTGCAGTTTTGAATGGAGATGAATTACCTGTAGAAGGTGACCTTCCAACTTCTGTGGTTAAGTGTTTCTTTGATTTCCCCTTTGTCCCTAGGAGCACCAGTGACCCTCTGAAGTGGTACCCTGCTCTGATCATCCTAGGGACTGTCCCATGGAAGCATGCAGATTGAAAAATAATTTTGCAGCAATGGAGCCCACTCATGTGTTCCCAAAGCTTCCATCCAGACCTCCAGCAGGTGGTAGGCACTATGCATCCATCAGTGCCAAATTTAAAGGTGAGCTCAGTGTTGGGGGACACACACACACACACACAGAAACCAGAAGCAAGAGAGAATCCCAATCTCTCCCCAACAGCATCTCAAAGACCCCAGACAGTGACAAGGAATTATTGCTCTGTAGGCGCAGTCCACCCATCTTTGGCTGTAACTACCCTGCAGAATTAATGCAGTTTGACACTGCTTTAACTGCCATGGCTCAATGCTATGGAATTCCTGGATCTGTAGTTTTGTGAGCAATTTACCCTTCGCTCTGTGAGAGTTCCGGTACCACAACAGACAACAAATCCCAGGATACCATAGGATGGAGTCATGGCAGTCAAAGCTCTGTCAAACTGTATTAATTTTGTCATTTGTTGTAAGCTGCTTTGGATTTTGCCCCAGTATAACTCCATCCTATGTAATCTGCAGAATTAATGTAGTTCAATACTGTTTTAACAGCCGTGGTTCAATGTTATGGAATCCTGGGATTTGTAGCTTGCTGTGGCATCAGAGGTCTCTGATGAAGAAGTCAAAATAGCTCGTAAAACTACAAATCCCAGGATTCCATAGCATTGGGCCATGACAGTTAAAGTGGTGTCAAAATGGTTTATTTCTGCAGTGTGGCAGCAGTCCCAGATGCAGCCTAACTAACTATATAATCCTAATTGGTAAAAAGGTGGGATAGAAAGCATTTTTCCTCCTGCTCCTCCTCCATCATCATCATCATCATCATCATCATCATCATGATGTCTTCTGGGTTTTTAACCCATGTTCTATTTGTGGTTCTGATTCTCTTGCAGGGCCAGGACCTGGGAAGTATGGCAGGCAGCCATGCACTGGTGTTAAGGATCATGACTTTACCAAGTACACTGAGCCAGCCTACACCATGCGTTTGAAGTCCAAAGCAAGAAGTAAGCCAGGGAAGGGGCAAGATGGCACAGGTCTTGGAGTTGTGGAGACTTTTAAAGGGAGTCTGTGTTCTGTGATGCTGGACTTTTGGTGGTTAGTCCCCATTAATGTAGAGACCCATTGAATCATGTCAACATGTTGGTAGAGCCAACTGATTCAATGAGTCTATTCCATTTAGGACTAACAACAGGCTTGAGGCTGATATGAAAAAAGCAGTGGGTGCTATTCATTTGTTAAGTTACCCAGATATCCTGACTTCATTTCAGTAAACTCAGAGTGGGTGCTGGATGGCCCTCTGTCGGGAGTGCTTTGGTTGTGTATTCCTATATGGCAGAAGAGGGTTGGATTGGATGCTTGGGGTTCTCTTCCAACTCTTTGATTCTGTGATTCTATGGCCCCAACAACACTACACAACATGGGTTGTTGCTTTTTTAAAGAAAAAATTAAAAGATTGAGACTGATGTACCATATGTGGGTCAAACAAGCTGTGAAAGAATGAATAAACAAACTTGGAACAAGCCTGACTTGTCTGTAAATCTAGACCCAAGTTGGATATGACAGGGGATGGCTTCTTTAGGAACGCAATGGGAAGGTTTTCTGAAATGATGATTCTATTGATTCAAAAGGTCTTCTACCATGCGCACACAGGTATATCCCAAAGAACAGGCACAGAGGGAGGAGTACGTCAGATGATGGCCAAATATTATCTCTGAGTGGACAGTATGACCT